CCATGAGCAAGGTCAATTCTAGGCTGGAGAAACTTGAATCGGTCACTACAGCCCTCACTATGGCTGGACCGGCCACGGCAATTCCCCCATCAGTGGTGGAGTCGCAATCAGTTTCTCCAGCTATCACCTCGGATGACCAAGAAGTTTACCCTGCCCACATGATTCCTGAGCACCTCAGGAGAGATATCCTGGAAGGTAAAGATGTCAATCTGGCCTCACTACTAATTGCCTCCCAGGATATAGTGGAACATAAGACCTACGCTTATGACGATATTTCTGTGGTGGTCAAATCCAGGGATGCACGATTAAATAGGAAGCTAACCATTCCAGAATTTGTATTAGCTTTTGGCATTTATCGGGATGTGGTCTGTACGGTATATCCCCACAGACGTGAGGAGTTTGACTTATATATGCACAGGCTGGTTGATCTGGGCAACAAATATGGTGGGTCAGCTTTCTATGACTACCATAGATCCTTTTCTGCCAAAGTGTCTGGCGCCTTCTCACAGTACGGGACAAGGTCCAACTGGAGTAAGATTGATACGATCATATTTTGCAGGCACTTTGCAGGTCTAAGAGCACCGGCCTGTGCACACTGCTCCTCCATGGCTCATACTGCCAATTTTTGTCCGACCACTGCGAACGAACCTACCACCTCGCAGGGCACTAGCTCCGCTGTGTCAGCAGAGAGAACACCCAAAGACAAACTGGGTCGACCTATCAAGTTTTTGGGGAAGTCCCAAATATGTAATAATTTCAATGTCGGTGCATGTAATTACAGCGGTTGTCGGTTATTGCATATATGTTCAAAATGTTTTAGGGCACATGCGAAAACCATGTGTCCAAATAAAATGTACCCTAAGCAATACTTAACTGAGATAAATATTTCTGTACTCACGGCATTACTGTCACGACATCCATCTAGACATTTGGTAGACTTCATCATCACTGGTCTATCACAAGGATTCCATACTGGTCTCATACACATGCCTTCAGGAATCCTTGAATGTCCTAATTTACAATCTGCACAACAAAACCCTACAGCGGTTAGCACACTCATAGCCAAAGAAGTGGCAGAGGGCTTCCTATTGGGACCCTTTCAGTCCCCTCCTTTTTCCACATGGCGGACAAACCCCATCGGTATTGTCACAGGGAAATCTTCCCACAAACAAAGACTTATCATCGATCTGTCTGCACCTCACACCTCTGCCTCACCTAGTCTGAACTCCCTTATCCCCTCTGAGGAATTTTCACTTCAATACTCCACCATAGATCACGCCATTACAGCTATCATGCAGGCAGGGGTCGGAGCATGGCTCAGCAAGACTGACATTACAAATGCCTTCAAATTATTGCCTATCCACCCTACACTATGGCACCTGCATGGCATTAAGTGGGCCGGGCACTACTACTTTTTCTCACGCCTAACGTTTGGTTCAAAAAGTAGTCCGGCCATTTTCGACGTATTCGCCGAAACATTATGCTGGTTATTATTAAATGTAGCCAGATGCCCTACAGTTATACACTACCTGGATGATTTCTTACTGATCGAAGAGAACACTTCCCCTCCCAGTAGCCTCATAGAAACCATCAGTCTTTTTAAACAGGTGGGTGTTCCAGTCTCCCCCACCAAAACTGAAGGACCAGATACAGTCATCACCTTTCTGGGAATCATGCTAGACTCAGCCACCATGCAAGCCAGCCTGCCACGCACCAAGATAGAGAACATTCTCACCAACATTAACCTCTACATACACCTCGGTACTTGCAATCGCAAAGAATTGCAGTCTCTACTTGGGTCACTGAACTTTGCCATGCGCATTATACCTCAAGGCCGGGCTTTCATCTCACGGCTCCTAACCATGTTCCCACTGTTTAGACATGATGCACACAGGTTACCACTGGATACCCAAGCCACGGCAGACCTACTTATGTGGAGAAACTTTTTGACCACCTGGAATGGGAAAAGCATGTTTCTCCCTAAATTGTCTGACTCCTCACCTACCATCTGGTCAGACGCGGCGTCTACCACAGGTTTTGCAGCAATTTACGGGAATGAATGGCTTTGGGGTAGCTGGCCTCCAGAGGTACAGGACCTGGAAGGTTTTTCCACTACCTCAGCTCTATTTGAGATGTATCCCATTGTGGCAGCTGCCGTGACATGGGGGCATCTATGGGCAGGTTCGTCAGTACGTTGCCACTCAGACAACCAAGCTACCTGCCACATCATAAACAAAGGCCGATCCAAGTCACTGACCATTATGAGGTTCTTGAGGAAACTCACCTGGCTGGCTGCATGCCATAATTTCTTCTTGTTTTGTGTCCATGTCCCAGGTGTTTGTAACACGGCTGCTGACAATTTGTCTCGTTTCAATTTTCAGGCTTTTCGGCAAATACTTCCGTCAGCCGCACGTACAGCCACGACCACTCCACCTTTCCACCAGCTAGTCATGGACTAGAAGCTATTATGCAACATAGCAGGACATTGGCACAATTAGCACTGTCCACCAATACCCGGAGAACATATGACAGGGCTTTCCTTCTATTTAAAAGATTCCTGTCACTGCACAACGTCACACAACCTTTCATCATGACATCTTTGTTAGGTTTTGCTTCTTTTTGCCACCTCAAACTTAAATTATCTTACAACACAATCAAGCTATATCTGACAGGCATACAACATCACATGCTAACATTACAACCAAACAACACAAGTTTCATGTCCTCCTACCAGATAAAAACATCCTTAGAGGTATCCAGAGATCCGAACCCCCACGTACCGCGCAAAGGCTACCTATAGACTTCAATATCTTCAAGGATTTATCCAGCCTACTAGATTCAAAACCCTTTGCGAACAACACAAACCTTGTTATAAAAACCGCCATATACGTAGCTTTTTATGGTTTCTTGAGACCAAGAGAATTTACCGCCATCAACACATCCCAGTCCACTCACATTCTGCTTCATTCACACTTAACGAAACACATGGATTACTATATTTTAGCTCTGCATCACTCCAAAACCAATCAACACGCACCCCCGGTAGAGGTTAGATACTATCCTACCCACAACGTGTGGTGCCCCGTCACATTACTGGACACCTATACTCAGCATTTCAAAGCATCACCATCTCAACCACTTTTCTGTCTACAAGGTTCGGTACTCACTACCACCACCTTCATGACCCACGTCAGGTCCCTACTTACACAACTAGGCCTAAAATCAGCTAACTATTCGGGCCACTCCTTCCGCATAGGGGCGGCCTCCACAGCGTCCAGTGCAAACATTCCAGTACATGTTATCAAGTCACTAGGGCGCTGGAAGTCTTCTGCATACTCTAGATACATACCTAACCCGGTACAAGAAGTTAGAAATGCCTTTCAAGATATGTCTGGTTGAAGTATGTATATTGCTCGTTTCGTAATAAAGTATATTTTCTACTTTTGCCCTCTTTATTTGCAGGCCTACCTCATCGTCGGTTCCGGCACACCACAACCGACTTGCTCTTTCACACTATCCCACACTTATCAGTGTTTGTATCTTCTGTACTATCATGAGCCCTTAACACAAGTATTAAGGCCTTTTGGCCTGTAATTGTGGGAGGGGCGTATGACTCACCTTCTCCCTACTTAAGGGACACCCCTTACCTGGCTCCATACCGTTCGAGGTCAGCGCTGCATCACCCTCCCACCCACTCCTCTTTTATTAACTCCTTTTCTCATACATTTCTTATTGGTGGGCCCTCTTTATTTGCAGGCCTACCTCATCGTCGGTTCCGGCACACCACAACCGACTTGCTCTTTCACACTATCCCACACTTATCAGTGTTTGTATCTTCTGTACTATCATGAGCCCTTAACACAAATATATTTATATATTTGTGTAAGGGGCAAAGTAATCGTATAAGGAGTGAGGTTCCAGTAGGAACTTGGAATAGTATAAAAGAGCAAGTCGGTTGTGGTGTGCCGATACCGACAATACGGTAGGCCTGTAAATAAAGAGGGCAAAAAGTGAATAACAAAATATTTATTACAGTCAACAATATATACAATTATCCAGATATGACTTTAAATGCATTTCTTAATTCTTGTGTTGGTTTGGGTATATATATAGTATAGGCGGATGACTTCCAACGTCCCAATGACTTGATGACGTGTACTGGTACGTTGGCGCTGGATGTGGAGGAGGCTGCTCCTATGCAAAACGAGTGACCAGAGTAGTGAGAAGGTTTGAGACCCAGCATTGTTAGCAGGGATCGTATATATCTCATGAATGCCGTGGTGGTGAGTACTGCATGTTGCAGTTTGAATAAAGGTTGTGATGGTAGTGCTGTGGTGTTAAGAAGATAGGCGTCTAAGGCTGCTACTGGACACCACTTGTTTAAGGTAGGGTAATATGTGATCTCCACTGGATGCGCATGTTGGCTTGTCTTTGACTGGGGTAAAGAGAGTATGTAGTGGTCACTATGTTTTTGTAGGTGCTTGTGTAGCAGGCATCTATCCTTTTGAGTAGTTGTGACAGTGGTGAACTCCCTTGGCCTGAGGAACCCGTAGAAGTCTGTGTACATAGCTGTTTTAATGACTGAATTGGCGGTAGAGTGGAAAGGTCTGGAATCTAATAGGTCGGATAATGACTGAAAAAGTTTATTGTCTATAGGTAATCGCTGTGGTGGTCGTGGAGGTACGGATTTTTGGATACCTCTGAGTATATTCTTTACCTGGTATGATGACATGAAGCTATGTGTGTTAGGTCTTAGGGTTAGCATGTGATGTTGTATGCCTGTAAGATATAACGTAATTGTGTTATATGATAAGTGTAATTTAAGGTGGCAAAAGGAAGTGAAAGCTATAATAGATGTCATGACGAATGGTTGTGATATGTCGTGATCGGCGAGAAATCTGTTAAATAGTGTAAAGGCATGTTATATGTAGTGTGAGTGTTGTGTGATAGTGCTAATGTGGCTAGATCCCTACTATGTTCCATGATTATATCTAGTCCATGATTAGTTGTGAGAACGGAGGGGCGACTGTGGCTGCTTGAGCGGCTGACGGGTGTGCTTGTCAAAAAGCCTGAAAATTAAAACGAGACAGGCTGTCAGCTGCTATATTACTAATACCTGGTACATGAAAGCAAACCAAGTAGAAGTTATGACATGCTGCCAACCACGTGAGTTTTCTAAGAAACCTCATGATTGTAAGGGATGATGAACGGCCTTTGTTGATTATGTGACATGTGGCTTGATTATCTGAGTGGCAACGAACAGACAAGCCTGACCATTGGTGTCCCCATGCCACAGCAGCCGCTACAATAGGGTAAATCTCAAAGAGAGCTGAGGTTGTAAAAAAGCCTTCTAAGTCACGGACTTCTTCGGGCCACTTACCCCAAAGCCATTTGTTACCAAAGATGGCTGAAAAACCCTTGTTGGATGCTGCGTCTGACCATATGGTTGGGGACGTGTCTGATAATGCGGGGAGGAACAAACTTTTACCATTCCAACTGGTCAAGAACCTCTTCCACATTTGTAGGTCTGCTGTGGCTTGTAGATCCATGGATAGTCTGTGGTTCTCATGTTGAAAGTGGGGGAAAAAGACAAAGCAGTCTGGATATGAAAGCCCGTCCTTGAGGGATGATGCGCATGGCGAAGTTTAAGGAACCTATAAGTGACTGGAGTTCCTTGCGGTTGCAAGTACCTAGGAAAATGTAGTGATTTATGCTGTTGATAATGTTTTCAATTTTGTCGTGTGGTAAGCTTGCTTACATGGATGCAGAGTTGAGTTGTATGCCCAGCAATGTAATGATAGTGTCTGGACCTTTAGTTTTCTTGAGGGATACTGGGACACCCAAGTGGTTGAATAGATTAATGGCTTCTTTAAGACTACTGGGCGGAAGTGAGTTCCCTTCTATCATCAGAAAATCGTCGAGGTAATGGATGACTATGGGTCATCTTGAAACGTTTAGTAGTAACCAGCAAAGTGTTTCAGCAAAAGTGTCAAAAATCTTTGGGCTACTTTTCGACCCAAAGGTTAAGCGGGAGAAGAAATAGTATTTCCCTCCCCATTTTATACCATGTAGGTGCCCGAGTGTAGGGTGGATTG